CATACATACAGGAAGCTAGCGAGAGACGCGATATCTCTCTGAGATATCTTCTATTCATTGGCATGAATTAGATAAACGTGCATCTGTGAGGCATTAAACCCACCCTTTTCCTTGCTTCCACATATCTAAGTATACATGAACACGAAAGTATAAATTTACTGTAAAACAAAAGGGTAAATAAAGCCCCGGTGAATTGCATTGCAATGAATGCTACATCAAGATTGACAAACTTAAATTGGTGCCACCTACTCTTTAATTAGCTTGCTTCTGTTTTTTACTTTTAGTCGGAGTCGATTCACTTTGTGAAAGATATTGGCGTTCGCCTACACGACCCTTGTATTTCGTGCCCCAAGCCATTCAGCGCGAAAATCATGAGCTCGCAGTTGCGCGCGTGGCAGAACAAACATTACAACCCCTTACAGAAGACGCCTACAAGGCGCTCGCGCGCATGCCATGGCACTCACCCCCTCCCCTTGGTGGCGGTTAATATGTGGCACGGTAACCTGAGACGTAGGGTGCGACTGGGAATGCTTTAATTTAATAGGGTACAGGATATTTTTATTCATTTGCGAATATTAAATACGGACAATAAAAAACTTTATGGAGAGTAAAAATGTTCTGGTGAATTATGCAAACTTCATGAAGATATAAAGAGAGATGACGTAATCTATACACGTGGACTATTTTTCGTTTATCTTATCTTTTCCAAAATGTATGGAAGGTCTAGGAATACTGATAACTTACGATAATTAATTGAGGAAAAAGTGAATTAATTAAGGGGTTAAGAAAGAAATTAGACACTGTTAAACATTTTACAATTTCTAAAATAGATAACTATATAATATAAAAAAAATAAATAGTATTTTATTTAATTTCAACTTAAAATACGAAAAATTCTATAAAACCCTTCAATTCAGTGTTATAATTTATTTTATAATTGTGATATCAGATAAATGTCATCGCGCTTGAAAAACGAAACGGATGCGTATTAATTATTCTTATTGATCGATTACATTAGAAATTTCAGGCATTTCGATTATCGGAAGGAATGCGTTGTTCTTAGAAGGAAGTATCGATACCCGTGTTCGGTTCGATAGCGAAGGGGTAGGAAGATAGTAGTACCCTACTAAACTTAAGCATCCCTACCCTAGACGCACACGACTTCGCGTCCCCGACGACGACGACGACGACGACGGATGAGGTAGCACGCAGGCGCCCGCGGTGTAACATCGTCAGCGCTCGCTACGACTCCGGGGTGGTGTTGCAACGGGGGTGGCGAAGCCGAACGTCTGCTCGGCGGACGACAGACAGCAGGCAGTGCAGGGTGGCTCGTATGCGTGCGCGCGAGTATACACGCGCTATAATGTCCGCCTACGTGGCTGCCAAGGTTCTCGCGGGTCGCGGATCGTTCAGCGGATGGCCGACGTAGTGACGTAAGAGTGAAGTGGAGAACGCCGTTGTACCGCGAGGAACGTCGTCGCGAGTGTCGTCTGCGAATCTCTTCTTCTCGCCTCGTTGCTCGTACGTCATTTTTTTTTCTTCACGCGAAAGGGAAAGGATCTTGGATCGCGATCAAGACTTCCTCAGTCTTTTCTTGGCACTCCCGCAGCCCGCTTGACTCCTCCCCATCGGCGCTCTCTTTCCACCGAGAAGAGGTAAGCCCGACGTCCGTACGACGTCGTATCCTCCGAGCGTGAAGACGATCGATCGTAAAAATCCACATATACACACCGTGCCCGCCGTTCCCCGCCTCACACCCCTTCCGGACCTTCCTCCGGCGAACTACACTCGGATACGCTGTCGTATCGATCACGCCGCTGCCGTGATGGATGTTTTGCACGTCGATTACAGGAACGGCCTTGTCACAGAAGGGACGTTTCTTCCGGAAATCTGATCGTTGATCATCCCTTCGATTTCCTCAAAGCTGTCACATCGCGGTCTTTTAGATGATCCTCCGCGTGTTTTTTAACACCCTCGAGAAATGACAGGCTCTGACAGATGCTAGAGTTCAAAGCTCCTTCGATTCTTATTTTAATATTCTTAATATACTGTCTGACCAGTAAATTTTGTACATCTATTATCATATACATTTCACGATACAATTTTTATAAACATATACATAATGATATAATATATATAATGATAAAATATTGCGCAATATGATAAATAATTAATGAAAATAAAAATTATTATTGTATAGCACATTTTTTTACTTTACATTGTTGTGTAGCCATTTAAAATTCTATTAGATGTTTATTTTTAATAAATGTTTAAAAATTTTGATAGCATTAGTTACCAGTGATCTATCATGTCAATGTGTTGACATTTGTAAAATTCATTATGCTAATGTTTAATGTGAGAAAAATGTGTTATATATTTAATGAATTTTATCCATATGTAATACATATTACATTTTTGTTTCCTGCTAATAGCGACTAACCGAAATATTTATTTCAAGGAGAAATTTTCTCCCCTTATCTCATTATCCTTCCTTATTCTTCCGTTATTTCGTTTCCTGCTATCCTTTTCTCTTCTAATTATCATGTTCTTCCATTATCTCTCTCCTTAAGCATTATTCATTTATAATAATCTTCTCATAATTTATAAATAATCAGATCTCAAGTTTAAGTCGAAACTTCTTAAATAGTAATGAATAGCTTATCGAGAAGCAAATACAATTCTCTTTTTTGTTATAAGAAATATAAGTAAGGGTAAGTTTAATTAGATGGTCCCTCCCTGAATCGCATTAGTACCGCATATTGAGAAGCTTCTCTCGTTAACATCGGTCGGATTCGATTATGCATTCATGCGAATTTTCACGTAAGACGTCACAACTCCTGATAACTAATTTACACGCGTAAGTTACGCAATTTCTATGCCTTCAGTTCAATCCTTTTGAAATTTTAACGGGAGTATTGACAACTGGTTGTCATCCATCAACTTGCAGACAGTTAATATGCTCTTTTAAATATCACACGAGAAAAATAAAATTTAAAATAAATAAATTTAATAAATCGAAAAATAAAATAATTTTAAATGATCAAATTTAAATAATACATCGAAAAAGGTAATATATTTTTTTGCACTTTGACAATGTTAACTTACACTTGTACGTATTTAATAATAGGTACATATGCATTAATACTGACGTATTTTCTATATAATATATTAATATGTCGTATTTTTTTTAATTATCGACCTACACGCACAATTTTCTGAGCAATGCATGAATGCATTATCTCACATACTCCTCGCATCGACATATAATGACGTCAATATACCTTCGTAATATATGACATCCATCATTTGTATTAACAATATTGATTTGTGAATATTTATAGAAAATTAAACGAGCTTGATTCTTTGTTAAATTTTTTTCTGACATAATTTGATATCGTGAGATTTAATCGGATACTAATCAAATATTTGGAAAATTGATTTGTTTAGATTATTTCTTTTTTTCTCGTTCATTCTTTCCTGCAAACGCTCGCCGATTAATTAAAATGAATATTTCGTCTCTCGCATTAATATGACACGTCTTCAGTTTCCTATAAATATAGATCGGTCACAGTACTAATTAATTATTCTCCCGTATCCGATAATTCACGTATTTCTGGACGGATCAATGGCCCGCACAAAAGTCTCCTACGATGCTTGTAAATATATACCTATAAAGTATCATTATCACATTCGACTGGCCAATAATTACGTGAATTCGAACGTTGAAATCTTTTATGTCTAATGAGACACTCTAGATAACATATTTGCATATAAATTTAAATCATGTAAAACGCAATTTATAAATTTAAATTTAACAAAAGTTACGGGTCAATCTTATACGATATTAAGAATGAGTCTAATGTAAAGTGATCTATTTAGTTTCAGTGGTTTAGGTCAACGTTTAGGTCAGTGGTTTAATCCCTACGTAAAAAATATATTTCGCATACGACAAAAAAATAAATAATGTATTTTAAATACCTAATACAAACACGTAATAAAAACATTTGTGAATTTTATATAATATTTAATAAGTCTGATATAAAGTGATCCGTCTGATTTCAGTAGTTAGTTTAGATCAATGATTAACGATCCCTGCATGAAAAATTTTATACTCAAGAAAAAAATATACTACGACATTTTAAATCCTCTCTTAAAATTAGTGTAACAAAAAAAATACTACATATAAATTTTACATAATCCTTACAAGTTTGATACAACAAATCTGATGTAACAAGTCTGATGTAACAAATCTATCTAGTTTCAGTGATTCATATCAACAATTAACGATTTCCGTATCTGAAAGATATTCCGCACACGAAAAAATATACCGTATATTTTGAATTTAATAAAAAGATACGTGAACCTTATATGATATATCTCTTTAAGAATAAGTTAAAATTTTATTGTAAGTTAGCTATCTAGTTTTAGTAGTTTAGGTCAATAATTAACAATTCCTACTTGTAAAATATTATACTTACGAAAAAAATCTACAGCATTTAAATTTAATAAAAAGACAAAGATCTTATATGACATGTAAGAACAAGTTGTAAAGTGATTTATCTAGTTTTAGTTATTTAATTTAACGATTAAATCACGATCAACTGCCTCTACATGAAAAATATTTCGTGCATGAAAAAATATACCGTGCGTTTTTAATTTAATAAAAAGACATGTGAATCTTATGATCCTTAAGTCTATTGTAAAGTGATCTGTTTGATTTCAGTGGTTTAAGTCAACAATTAACGAGGTGAAAAATATTCCGCGCGCGAATATAATCGTGCAAACTGCGCGCTGTTTTTTTTTTTTACTCTTTCTTATTCACCTCCATGGAAAAGTATTATCGGAATAATATATTAATAACTGAGATATATTCTTAGATATGAAAACTACAGAGTAGTTTCTCGTAGCAGGTTTTTTGCCGCGTACTCGCAATAAACGATATTAAACGTAAAATTAATATTCGACAGTGACACAATTAACGAGACGTTATTTTGTTACAGAGAGACGAGTGAGAGAGGAAGTTATCGCCAGCACCGCCGCCGGCTTGATCCGACGTTAAATTAAAAAGAGAAGAAAAAAACAGGAAAAATGTCGTCGGTTAAGGTGGCGGTGAGGGTACGGCCCTTCAACTATCGTGAAGTCAGTCGTCAGGCACAATGTATTATAGAAATGACGGGGAGTACTACTTGTAAGTACTACTTCTAACATGCAGCTTAAATCGAGCAACTTATGAAATAATTATTAGTTTATCATGTACACATTTCATTCGTTACTTTTTCTGTTGCAGCCATAGTGAATCCGAAAGCTACACCAGGAAGCAAAGAAGCGGTCAAGAGCTTCAATTATGATTATTCCTACTTTTCTATGGACGTAAGTACCTTTTCAATATAGTAGTTATTGACGCGATACTCTTATGTTTAATTGGGATAAAATTTAATTTTTAATTTTTTAATATTATTATAGCCAAATGATGAGAATTACTCGACTCAGCTCATGGTTTATAAGGATATCGGTGAAGAAATGTTGGAACATGCTTTTGAAGGTAAATATTAATTAACAATGCATAAAAGACATCTTTTTTAACTATTTGTTTAAAAAATCGTTTAAAGATCAAGACAATATTTTAAAGGATGTAAATGAATTAATAATTTTTGTATGAAAAATAATTGTAAATAATCACGTACTATTAATGTTTTATTAATCATGTGTTATTAATAATTTTAATTCTTAGATAAATTTATAAAAATCATTGTCTTTCAAAGCAAAATTTGGTTAATTTATATTGGTTTTACTAATAAACAAGGTATAATTCTCTTTAATTTCTTTTGCGATGCAGGCTATAACGTTTGCATTTTTGCATACGGTCAAACTGGCGCCGGTAAATCTTACACCATGATGGGTAAGCAAGAAGAAGGGCAGGAAGGAATTATACCACAGATTTGCAAGGATCTGTTTAGGAAAATCAGTTACACATCTAATGAGCGATTGAAGTACTCGGTAGAAGTGAGTTATATGGAAATCTATTGCGAGAGGGTGCGCGATTTGTTAAATCCGAAAAATAGGGGAAATCTTCGAGTAAGGGAACACCCTCTTTACGGACCTTACGTCGAAGATCTTTCCAAGTTAGCTGTATTATCATATGAAGACATTCACGATCTCATAGACGAAGGTAACAAGGCCAGGTTGGTTTCATGCTTAGTAACTAAAATTGTACAAAAATTATTTTTATAGCATTGTACACAATACGTGTTATTTTGAAAATATATTCTAGGACTGTCGCAGCAACCAATATGAATGAAACATCTAGCAGATCACACGCAGTTTTCACGATATTCTTTACACAACAACAACAGGATAGTATCACTGGTTTGATGACGGAAAAAGTTAGCAAAATATCGCTGGTCGATTTAGCCGGATCCGAGAGAGCTGATTCAACGGGTGCGAAAGGGACACGATTGAAAGAAGGAGCTAACATTAATAAGAGTTTGACGACTCTCGGGAAGGTTATCAGTGCCCTGGCCGAAATTGTAAGTATCATACTTTACTCAAATCTGTGTTACATTAAGCATTGAATTTATCTTATATTGAGTATTATATTTATGTCATTATTTTACTTGTTTGCTACTCTTTGGATTGTCAGGCGGTAAGAGTTCATTAAAACTAATACTATAATTTAAAGAATATTTAATTATAAATATTTGTACGTTAAAACAATATATTTAATTGTAATATTTTAAATATAATATATTTTGTGTAATATATTGAGTGTGTGTGCTTTTCATTTAGTGGCATAAGTCGACACAAACATTATTCTATCTTTCTTGACATTCAGAGAGTAACAAAGATAGAAAGATATTTGTGTCGATTTATGTAGACTTGTGTACCAAATGAAAAGCATTGATAATGATTATCGACAAATTCGTGGTTCTCTATAGGCAACAAAAAAGAAGAAGAAAGCCGATTTTATACCATACAGAGATTCCGTTTTAACATGGTTGTTGCGGGAGAACTTAGGCGGAAATTCAAAAACTGCTATGATTGCAGCAGTTAGTCCTGCCGACATCAATTACGATGAGACGCTTTCAACCTTACGGTAAGATTTATTGTTTACTACATATTTTTCGAATTTATTCTTGAATTTTAAATGACTTAATTAAGCGTTTAATTAATGATTAGACCTAACAGGCTTACGTTTTATTCGCAGATACGCGGACAGAGCGAAACAAATTGTCTGCAAAGCCGTGGTCAACGAAGACGCGAATGCCAGACTTATCAGAGAACTCAAAGAAGAGATACAGAAATTACGCGAACTTCTAAAGCAGGAGGGCATCGACGTACAAGAAGGTAAATTAAAAGCATTTTTAGAAAATTATTAGAAATCGTTACATTAAATCGAATTAGAGGACTTTTTATCATAGAAAGCGTATACAGACAAGGACTGACTATATATAGATATGCTAAATTGAATAATGATTAAATATAAATATTAAATTAAAATCGTCTATTTAAATTCGCGAAATATGCAGAATATTGAAGTGTTATTCATCATGAATATAACTTTATCTATTAGTTGATTAGTATAATGGTAATAATTGCATAGAATATAACAGAAATTATTCAGAGAATCACAATGCTGAATGCACGTGTCGCAAACGTGAATTCTTGGCTGCTATAAACTAATTGCAATTGCACAGCGCGCGACAGGCAATTCATTCACATAGTATTCTTCTCTTTGTTTTCCTTGCGCTCGACGTAGGGCCAGATGGCAAAGTTACATACGAAAAGAAAGAACCTAGTAAGTAAAAATGCTAACAATCCATTGCAAGCAAAAAGTACAGCCAAGGCATCTCTAGCGCCTCTTTTGTAGATATTTTATTGTTTTATTTTGTTTATGCGCTCTTATTTCATCGCTAAGCGCATAATACTTGTCATTGATATATGTCGATCTTCTTAATTTTTGTACATTTGCTTCGCGAATTTCCTTTTCATCACTTACTGTATGTATTTGTCTTGTTAATGTCTATTGATTGCGCTTCCCTCTCTTATATATTTCATACAATTAGTAACTTTTTTGACATTTCATAAAATTTAAATTAAAGAAAATCTAAATTAATATAATTGATTATGCTTCTATTTATAAAAGCAAAAATATATTTTAAAAATAAAATATTACATTTATGAAAGAGAAAACGTGACACAATGAGGATGCCAAGTTAATTGAATTTATTCGAAAGTGCATATAATAGATATCAAACGGCGATTAGATCATGCTGAATATTCATTAGAACATGCCGGTGTTCTGTAAAAAAGTATCAGTTCACTAGTTATGTTTCTACGTTCTTAGAATGAATATGTAGCAACAATACAAACTTTACAGCTTCTGAAATACTTCTCTTCATCTACGCCACTGCTTTAATTATGGCTTTTGATGTTTACACGACTCACGATACCGACTCTGACGCAGGCTTGCTATTTTAAATATTACAACCGCCGTTTTCTCGACTCCTAACGATCCTCATTTTGCAGGGGATGAAATTATTAGAACGAACAAGCGAAATGAAGAAGACACCAAGGAAACTCGACCAAGAATTTCTTCTCATACTACATCCACCATTGCCGAAGAGGCGGTTGAACAGTTGCAAGCGTCTGAAAAATTAATCGCAGGTACGTATCTGTAAACTGCGATTATTCTGATAGTCTTTTCTATTCTTATCTCATTGATAATCAATTATAAATACGTAGTACGAAAATTAACAAATGTCTTTATAGTAGGTATTCTTTTTATTTGATTCTACTTTTGTTTTAGAACTGAACGAAACATGGGAAGAGAAGTTGAAGCGAACCGAATCAATTCGCTTGCAACGCGAAGCAGTTTTCGCTGAAATGGGAGTCGCTGTGAAAGAGGACGGAGTCACAGTGGGCGTCTTCTCTCCTAAGAAAACACCGCACTTGGTAAATCTGAACGAGGACCCTCTCATGTCAGAATGTTTGATCTATTATATCAAGGATGGATTCACACGTATTGGCAGTGCCGAGGCGCACGTACCTCAGGATATCCAGCTGTGTGGTCCACACATACTTAGGGAGCATTGCGTTTTCGAGAACCATGAGGGAATTATAACTCTCATACCGAAGAACGGAGCCTTGATTTATGTCAACGGTCGCGAAGTAACCGAGCCACTTATCCTAACGACTGGCTCACGTGTCATCTTGGGAAAAAGCCATGTTTTCCGATTTAATCACCCAGACCAAGGTATGCAATACTCGGATTTATTTGTTAATGAATTATAAACATTTAGTGAAATGTATGAGAGAGAATAAAATATTGTATTTGTGTTTAATTATGCAGTACGTGAACGGATAGCGAATGGCTCCCCGGCGGAAACTCCTGGCAATAACGAACCATTAGCAGACTGGAATTTCGCACAGGTCGAGCTATTAGAAAAGCAGGGAATCGATTTAAAGGCTGAAATGGAAAAGAGATTACTTGTACTGGAGGAACAGTTCCGTAAAGAGAAGGAGGAAGCCGATCAATTGTTTGAAGAACAGCGAAAAGTACATATAATACGAATACATACATCATGTCTTTTTAATACATCGTTTAATTGTGACAATTGATTTTTTCTGTGAATAGAGCTACGAAGCACGGATAGATGCGCTACAGAGGCAGGTGGAAGAACAAAGTATGACCATGTCTATGTACAGCAGTTATACGCCAGAAGACTTCAACAACATCGAGGAAGATATTTTCGGTGAGTGTGGAAAAACGTGTCGCTTCCGAGTCTTAATATACTTTAATATAGCTATACCTGATCGACTGGGCATCGTCTTACTGTATCTTTCACGTAACTCTTCAGACTTACAAATGTCTTTTACACCATTGAAAATTTATTGCATGCTACAAGGCCTTACGTTGTCGATGAGACATAGCACATTCGAAATATACTTGACACTTTGATTGCTTAGCTGATTTCATTATTAAACTGAAATATTTAATCAATAAAATGCTATTTTTAATCAATAATAGCATTTTTTTTTATAGTTTGTTGTTTTTTTTGTCTTAATATAATTTATATTACAATATTAAATTAAATATAGACCGAAAAGTATTTAAACACAAATAAGAGAGAATTGTATTTGTATATTTACATATGAATGTTATCAAGCACTTGTAAGACTCGCTTTGACCGAAAATGTTTATTTTTTAATAATTTATATTATTTCTCTTTAATGCTTTAAATACTTAATAAGATAATTCTTAATCAGGTAAATAAAATTGCCATTTATAAATGAATAACAAGATTCTTATAAATGTTATACGTTATCCAAATATATAAATGATATGGCTGTCAAAGTGTTAACAAAGTAACTGGTATTATTTCATCAAACGCTTGGCTTCTCTGACTGTTTTGCCTCGTAATGGCTTGCATTTCAGTCAACCCATTGTTTGACGCAGAGAGCAACTGGACCGAGAGAGAGTTTCAACTGGCCGCTTGGGCCTTCCGCAAGTGGAAATATCATCAATTCACGAGTTTACGGGACGATCTTTGGGGCAACGCGATATTCCTCAAAGAGGCTAATGCTATATCCGTTGAACTAAAAAAGAAGGTATAGTCGCGGAAATGTACGACGGACAATTCTTGGCACGGCTTTCACTTGCGTTTACTACCTCTGCACCTCTGTTCTCGTATACTTTCGAATACGAGAATATGAATTTTGAACTTCTTTTAATGTTAAAACCGATGTGAATTACATTTATCCATATGATCTTCGCGTAATCTACAAATATGTGATTTTTTGAGTGTAATGATAATCATTTGCAGAATTTAATATTGCACAAAGAAAATTTATACAAAAATAGCATCTGTTAAATATGTTAAAAACTAAGGAAAAATATTTCCGTTGTATAACGGGTTTTATAACATTAATTTTCTTTTCTAGGTTCAATTCCAATTTACCTTACTCACGGACACCCTTTATTCGCCCTTACCTCCGGATCTCTTGCCCATTATGGACGAAGAAGAGGAGGATGAAAGACCCTTCCCACGCACGATCGTCGCCGTTGAAGTTCAAGATATGAAAAATGGTGCTACGCATTACTGGACCTTGGATAAGCTAAGGTTTGCTTTATTGCCCTATTTTACGTTTTACGACGGCGCTTATTTAATTAACAGAGCATTCGTGCTGATACAGATAAAATGTATTTTGCCGCTAAGTAATTTTTATTAATGATCATCAATTTGCCGACAAAATTAACACTCTATGGAGTAATTTTCTAGCCAAATTACAATGGCATTAAATCATCAAATTTATACATTCATATAGCATGTCCTCTATAATTGTATTTAATTTCTCATTTTAAAACAAAACCTTTTTTATGCAGCGTTCGACGATTTCTTTTCTGTTTCGTTACCGTCGCACGAACTTCTTGTGCACTTAATGAAAATTATGAAGATTATCGACCTACGTCAAAAGTAATACGAAAACTAAACGTTTTTATAACAATATGCAGTCGCGAGACGACCAAAAATTCTTCTGCGCGCACTAGGCATTGCACGATGATTAAGATCATAGAGTTGAATTTTGAGTCGCGGGCTTTTTTTCGCTAATCGAGCGAGAGCGAATTCGCAGCTTATACTAAAGTAAAACTCGGTCCGCATTCGGCTTAAAGGGATCGCACGGCCCACTCACGCGAAGTAATGACATGTATGACTTGTAGACAGCGCTTGGAGCTGATGCGACATGTGTACAACGAGGACTCGAGCCCCAGCACTCCGGAGGCCAAAGAGGATATTTTCCAATGCCTTACGGTCTACTCTAATCCGAAGTTCTCGCTCGCAAATCTTTTGCCTTCGAGGTTGGTGCTCGAATGCGCGAGGCTCTCCTCTTCGCCATGTAATACGCTTTAAACGCCCTCGGCCTTCGAAGAATCCCCTTATCGCTGGCGCAAAAGTCCGTTTTCACCGCCATGCGTTTTGTCGTTTTTTGCTCTGTCTGTCTTGAGAGGCTTTTCTCGGTATGGTAACGCTGTGTGCCCTCCGACGCGGATACAAACGAAACGGGCTTTGCACTTTGAACTCGCGAAACTTATCGGTTGAATCTGCATGGTTTCCTTTGATAGATTTGTAGCGCAAACGACGCAAATCGGATTGGAATGAGTACGAGCCCTCGACTCGCCAAAAGTTATGCCATCGTTTACGCAGCACCGCTTCCGCTGCTGTGAACATCTCTATTGCTGTCTGAATGTAAAGAAAAGCGTCTCGTCGCATTCTGTGCACGTCTGTCTCAACACCGACACATCTTCTAATTATCTCCTGCTGAGCTCGTGTCCTCACTATTTCGCTTTCCAACTTTGTCATGCACGTACATTTAATCGATCAAGAAAGCGACGAAGAAAAAAAGAAATATTAAACACGTAAAGGAAAGACTTGAAATTTCAGGTTTTATAACAAACATATGTATATTTCAATGTTTTTTTATAAATTATTACATAGCGCTTGCTTACAAAGGTTGCTTAAACTCGCAACCTCATGAGAATATTATATATACACATACATATATATAATTTTACATTATATATAATTTTATATATATATATGTGCATATATAATTTTCTGCTAAAACACATGGGTAAAAGGTCAAAAATGTTGAAAATACCAAATATCCGATGAAATTTTATATGAGTTAAAACACACTTGAACGACTTAACACACGAGTTACGATTGCATTCGCATAACTTCTTGCTATTGGAAATAGCAGTAAAAGATAATTTCGTTTGCTTTCCAGGCAAAGGTTGGAGCTGATGCGCGAGATGTATCACAATGAGGCGGAGCTCTCACCGACGTCTCCGGACTTCAATATCGAATCTATCACGGGAGGTGATCCATTTTATGATCGATTTCCGTGGTTCCGTATGGTCGGCAGGTAAATGAACGAATTTAAATGTCACCACGATCTTCCTGGTTTCTTCTTCTCTTTTTGCTTTTTATTATTATGCTAATCTGATGTAAAATTTTTCAGAGCTTTCGTATATTTGAGCAACCTCATGTACCCGGTGCCACTGATTCACAAAGTGGCTATCGTAAACGAAAAAGGCGATGTTAAGGGTTACTTACGAGTCGCTGTACAAGCCGTAGTTGGTTCGTAGCGTATCTACATTTCACGTCTCTCGCGTATATAAGATATACATAACGAACCCTTCTTCTAGAAGAGGAAAACAGTGAATATTCAAGTGGCGTCAGACAATCAGCCCGAATCTCCTTCGAGGACGACTTGTTCGGTGGGCATAAGCATAATAAACGCAACTCGCTCCTGGCTCAGACTTTAGAGAAGAATCGACAGATTATGCTGCACGAGGAGCGCGTGGTCGAAGGGCATAACGAAATTAATCAGAAGGACATGAAAGACGAGGACGATATAGGAGATGCCGACAGCGGCAGAGGTGATAGCTCAGTCTCGAGCGATATGAAGGAGGAAGAGTTGCCGGATCACTTGCAACCCGGTGCAGAATTCACTTTCAGGGTAACGGTCCTACAAGCTATGGGTATTTCCACGGAGTATGCTGACATTTTCTGTCAGTTCAAGTAAGTGTCTGTCTATTTCGGTGTTTGTTTTAACATGTAACATATGACCTACAAAGTAATTACTTTTACAGTTTCCTACATCGACACGATGAAGCTTTCTCAACAGAGCCGGTAAAGAACACAGGCAAGGGTAATCCACCTGGATTTTATCACGTACAGAACGTAAGTCGAATATAGGGAGAATCTCAGGTTTAAAATTTTGTCAAAGTTAAAGCCTGCTAATTAATATCTCTGGATTAATACAGATTACAGTCACGGTTACCAAATCCTTCTTGGAATATCTGAAGACTCAACCTATTGTCTTCGAAGTATTTGGCCATTATCAGCAACATCCGTTGCACAAAGATGCGAAACTGGAATAGTGAGTGTTAATCATAAACGCTAGTTCTTTTAGATTTTGCTTAAGAAAATTTCATGATCACATTCGTATTCACATAGCAGCGTACGACAGCCACCGAAGAGGATGCTACCGCCATCCATACCGATCAGCCAGCCAGTTCGTTCGCCGAAATTCGGGAGTGTTCTGCCGTCTCCCAGCACATCGCATGTGCATGCTAAATACGATGTATTGGTGTGGTTCGAGATCTGCGAATTGGCACCGAACGGCGAGTACGTGCCGTCAGTAGTGGACCACAGCGACGACCTACCATGTCGTGGACTGTTCCTGCTCCATCAGGGCATACAGCGACGTATACGAATCACCATTGTGCACGAACCGGCTTCCGAATTGAGGTGGAAAGACGTACGCGAACTTGTGGTTGGCCGCATACGAAACACCCCAGAACCCGAGGAAGAGGATAATGATTCGTCTGTGCTTTCACTGGGTCTGTTCCCGGGCGAGTATCTCGAAATTCCTGGCGACGATCGAACCATGTTCAGATTCGAAGCAGCTTGGGACAGCTCTCTGCACAACTCGGCTCTGCTCAATCGAGTCACGTCCTACGGAGAACAAATCTTCATGACTATCTCCGCGTATCTCGAGGTACATATTAGATATTTTGATGGTTTGTGGGAACATTTCAGGAGGCTTATTCTTTTCACCTATATCGATTTTAGCTGGAGAATTGTGGAAGACCTGCAATTATCACGAAAGATTTGAGCATGATCATCTATGGGAGAGACGCAAGAGTAGGGCCACGTTCACTCAAGCACCTATTTAGTGGCAGTTATCGCAACCAGGAAGCGAATCGACTCAGCGGCGTCTACGAACTGGTGTTACGTCGTTCTTCGGAAGCAGGTAGCCCAGGTTTGTTATGTCTAACCATAGCGTAGTCCCGTGTTCTACTTAACATTACATTCAGATAAAATAACGTCTCAAATTTTTTTCAAACTATATTACTCCATCTGCGATATATCTTTTATCTATATGTACTTAAAAGATATATCTTAAATATACTTCTAATATATCTTTTTAGTGTCTCTTCAAATGTTGAAACCAAAACTATCTACACCAAAATATCATTTTTAATTTGAAAAAAGGAAAGAAAGCAATAATTAAATATAATTGAATTATTTTAAAGTTGTATATTATGATGTCGATTATTCTGACTCTAAAATATTAATCTTAATATTAAAAAACACAATACTGTTTCACTGCACTATTGCTCAGTATAACAGATTTCTTTAATTAATATTTAATGAACAATAATGATTTTATACTTATTTATATTTTTGATTTTTTCCTGTTTCTTGTTACTCATCCATTTTTCCTCCTTATATATTTATAGGAGTTCAAAGACGTCAACGTCGCGTCTTGGACACGAGCTCCACATACGTCCGGGGTGAAGAGAACCTTCACGGATGGAGACCACGCGGAGACAGTCTCATATTCGATCATCAGTGGGAGCTCGAGAAGTTGACGAGGCTGGAGGAAGTGGAGAGAGTGCGACATACATTGTTGTTGCGGGAGAAGCTCGGTATTGACAAAATACCATTCTGCAATAAGCCTCTGCACGATTTTACGAAGAGCGAAAAGGTAACCGCATTTTATATTATTAAATACTGAAATACAACATAGAATTATATATAATAATTTTAATCTGATACAGGACGTGTGTAATATGGTGGCAAAGGCCACAAACGAGCCACATGCCAGCCCGGTAAAGCTGAAACGTTCGACGAGTAAAGACGTTTACGAACCCTGGGAAATGACTGAAAGAGATCGTGAATTAACGACTAAGTACATTAAACTCATTCAAGGAAGAATCCCGAGCAAGGAACCAATATTACTGTCCGATGTTTCGCCCGGGGAAGACACCATAACCGATTTATCCGCGTCTATGATGTCTTCGGTCATATCGTCTTCATCTCAAGAGTCAGTATATGCGAAAGCTAGCGATTTTTTAGAGCAGGTAACCCTCTCTGCATGCCCCTGAGTGCTCTTGCTAGTAGCGGTTGTCCATGCTTTGCTTCGCCATATTATTACATTTATCTATAAAAAAAAAAACAATTCAATATTCGAAAAATCTCAGTTAATTCGTTATCGAATACTCTTGATATGTATGCTGTATATATAATTTTGCTACATTCCGATATATATGAAATGAAATGAGAACACGAATGCTTCGAACAATTTGAAAAACGGCATTTGATCTTATTTTTTACTTATTGTCGTGTAAAGCGGCGGTCGATTCATGCATTTTTTTCAGCCTGGCTCACCACATATTATCGCGCTTTCTCAAATATTATACTTTCTCGAATCGATATAGCTTTCGAAACATCTGCTTCCGCATTTGTTCGTTTCAAAGTGTGGCATTCGAGACTTAAATGCCGAGACATGTCGAGACAACCGCCAGCATGATTGGCTCATGGTCAGGGTTATGCTGGAGTGTTACTTGCAGGCTGCTGGTATAATAGTATGGAGCAAGTCTAAGTCGTGCCTCCTTAGGTTGAGTTCACCGGAAAGGGCTAGACTGCAAGAACTTCAGGAGAGTATATTGGCGAGCGAGTCGGCTAATCAGACTTGTACTGTCGCGCCGCCGCCGCTTGGCTCATCCTCGCCATCGAAGGAGAACCTGGTATTGTACGTGCCAGAGGTGGAGGAAATACGCATAAGTCCGGTCATCGCGCGGAAAGGCTACTTGAACGTTCTCGAGCACAAAACCAATGGCTGGAAGAAACGCTGGGTGGTACGTCCTTTACCGTTAAATTTATGTTATCTAATTTAAAAGAAGAGAAAACTATTCTTAAATAAAATTAAATTATTTTCAAGTCATTATATAATAATATTGATTCTTACTCTAAAATTATTGATCTAAAGAGATTTCAATATCCGCGCGTTTCTTCTTTGTCATTTTAGGCTGTTCGCCGACCGTACGTTCTCATTTTTCGAGAGGAAAAAGATCCCGTCGAAAGGGCATTAATTAATTTGGCTACGGCTCAAGTCGAATACTCTGAGGATCAGCTGGCCATGGTGAAAGTACCGAATACTTTCAGGTAAATTGTTCGTGAATAAGGAAATAAGTACAGATGCGATTGTGCAACATATACTGAAATGTCTGTCTATGCAGTGTCGTCACCAAGCACAGAGGATATTTGCTGCAGACTTTAGGTGATAAAGAGGTCTACGACTGGCTGTATGCGATTAATCCTCTTCTAGCTGGTCAAATTAGGCATGTATAATAGCATAAATTGATTTCGCTCCGTTTATCTTAATAATAAGTCGTGAAGACTCCAATTAACTATATACACATTATTATCTTATACATGAAAATTATAGAAACAATAGGTAGAATGCTTAATACACTATCGTAGGTCGAAGCTTGCCCGCAAAGGTCCGGCTGCCCCAAATTTAAGCAATGGCACGCCGATTGGCATGACACCACAACTGGAGCAGCAAAACAATCAGACCAAGTGAGTGGTCGACACTATGGCCGGGGTAACGAGTGCAATAGCAAAGGTGTCGGAGAAAATGCTGTGTTGGTCACACTCGGCCTTAGAGTCCCAAGACTTCTGCAACTTTCGATTCGCTAGTCTTTGATTGACCGAGCGGAGGCGAAGCTGTCCCTTGAGACTATCCACGATCGGCAGCATATTAATATCGACGTTTTACTTTACACAGCGTCCCTTTAGCACGTTATAGGGCAGTCAGAATGAGAAAGAAAAGAGAAAAGAGAAGGAAGATGGTGCTCGTCTTTCGAAGAAGTTACAAATGTGCGTACAAATGCATTCGGTTACACTGTGTTGGAAAAAAATGTTCGTTATTATGTCTCTCCGTACATTTCGAATTTTCATTCGAAGTGCTCTCCACGTCGACGAGACGAAATCGCGCGCGAATATTTTCGTTGAATTTTTATTTCTGTAACGCGTATATCAACGTGTGACTACGCGATACCTCTTACGTACGCGATGTGTGAGGAAGATAGAAAATGCATTTATGCCTAATAAACATATTCCTAAGACGATCACTAAAAATCGGGATAAGGAATACAGTTATAGATACATGTAAAAGAGAAAGTATGCGAGAGAAAGTGAGAAAGGAGAGAAAGAGAGAAAACGAAATAAAAAAAAATGAGAGATAAGATATTAATAATTTCATACGCAAGCTTAGCGATCGCTTAGTATGCGAAAAATTATGACGGAGAAAAATAAAAGAGCAACATTTTGTAAACTAATTCAGGCAAATGATAAGATTCGTTTAAGATAGTTCTCTATTTTAACATTTTATCATTCTATCTGTTTTAGCATTTTAACATTTTAGCGTCGTAACGATCGTTAAAGAGTAAAAACGATTTTCTATAAAGATTACATTTCCATTTTGTTCAATAATCGTTTTCTTTTACTCGATCAAGCAAATTAGATATATACACCGATACTGGCTATTCGATTTATGTATGAAAGATCAGGTATATTGCTGTACACGCAATCGATCGGCCGTCGCTCGATGAAGATTTTATCTTAATAGCATTGCTCCAAAGCAACGACGCTAACTTTGTATTAGAATGAAAAAAAGATTCGAATATTATTTAAGATGTAAAAACTAAGAAGCAACGAAGTAAGAGGGAAGGAGAGAATCGTTACTTCTCTCTTGAAGCATAAAACTCGTAGAATACTTTCTTTTAACGTAATTCCAAACATTTATTCGCACTGAATCATTTATCCTCAATATAAAATAATTTTTATATCCTCTCCTATCTTAAGATATTTGCAAATTTTCTGTACATATTTTAGTACTTAGCAGCTACTGTTTTGATTATACAAATGGGTTAAAGAATTTAAAAGCGAAGAGCAAAAGTTGTTAAGAACAGAGTTACAAGCATTTGTAATTCTCTGTTTCTAAGCATCTTTGTCTAAAAATAATATAGAAATCTTGCAACGATAATTTATGAAACTCTCTTGCAATTTTAATGTGGAATTATAAGAATGTAATTTATTTTTTTTTCTTCATCATTATATGTTGCATACATTTAAAAATATGTTCTAAAAATATTTTTCTTATTTTTATTTTGAGACGAGAATCATACGAAATCTTAAATTTTTTATACGAATCATACGAAGTTTTAAATTGTCGTTGTGAAAGTTCTACATAAAGAAAATTAATGTTTCAATAAGCAGAGAAATAATCACTGGAAAAACTTCTTCGAAATACGAATAAATGCGCGTAGTCGGCAAGCAAGCGGCACTGTCATAAGAAATCCAAATGTCATAAGAAATTTTCCATTTGTAATCGACCGAGACCCACAATTGATACGAAGCTAGGACAAAGCTGGAATTTTCGCACTTCGTATCTCGCAGCATGCGGAATAGATAAAATTACGTTAATCTGTGGATATAGACACCACACTCTGATACATCGTGTTTTCATGTCTACTTAGAATTTAAGCAGTGCTCCTTAAACAATGTTCACCACGTAATGTGGCACGCACATCCTCGGACGTACTTGCGACGAATGCGCGTCGACGAATTTCATCTAACGAGAAAATATTCAATTTTGGATTAACAAATGTTAATTCATTTGTAACTTGAACATAATGGATAAAATTAGAATTATACAACGACGACAAAACTTTTTGTTTAAAAAAAAAGTGAATTTATAATTAAACTTGATACAGAAAGGATTCAATCGTTCGATCTAAATTTTTTCAAAAGCAGAATGATCTGATTCTCTAGTTTCTTTCTTTTCTAGAGAACTTAGAGATGAGTGAAAATCCCTTTAAAGTTCAATAATCCGAATTGATAATTTTCTCGTAGGATCATAAACGATTGCACCGTTCCGAGGTTTTGATTAACTTCTCTTACGTGTAACAGATTTCGGATAAAAGATGCGGCATTATAAATACATGTGTCTACCATGCAGCTTACATGGAGAACTCTTAACATCTTTGATATTAATTCACGTGACTGTGGTGTCAGAGATGTAGTCAAAGGAGGACTCATTCTCTTGATAGGTATTACGTATATAATAGCATTTCATGACGGTCGATATGTAGTACTGAGACATTTCACGCACACCAAAAACCTAATTTGTTTGTTTCCATCCCGTGCCGTCGAATACATTTCTTATTGTCCAGATAGTAAAATGTCTGAAAAAAAAAATTTGTAAAGTGTCTGCTACCAATTCTCTTGACAAAATGCCAGCAGAAATATAACGAAATTTGCTAATAGAATATAACGGAAGATTAACTGCAGAAACTGAGCAGAATTTTGTAATCATTTAAATATATATTCGATATATTCGAATTGTTATAAAATATATAACAGATTTTGTTTAATTTTTGCTGGCTGTATGTGCTGTTAGATTATGTCGGTAGACTCTGTTGGCAGATCACGAGTTTCATACGAATGCAATTGATTCCAATCTGCCACAATACTCCGCTCGAATCTGCCGACAAGCTAACATCAGGGGACACGGTAGTGTCTCTATGCTAAGAGCACGTGCGCGAATTTTGCTTACTGAACAGACTTTGCAAAATATCCGTTATCAATTTTGTTAACAGAATGTCAGCAATAATGGAATCTTTTTCTTAGGCCTCTGGCTTGTGTTACTCCTCTCTCATATGCTTGTGGTGCGCACGCTGATTATTCAATTGCTCTAAACATATGGGAGTTTTAATATTGGTTTCGAACGGCGGATTTTTCGAGAGGTGTTTCTGTGGGCAAGAATATTCTCGGGAGGTTGTCGACCTTTTCCGAAAGGAGATACGTTCCGAGAGGAGCGTAAATATTTTGATTCCTACCAGGATCGAACTCGGGACCTCTGAATAGACCAGTGCGTTGTTTGTCATGCCACACTCGCGCTCAATAATGGAATCTGATAATAGATTAATTGCAAAAATAGAGTAGAATCTGCTCTTTCATAATTATTTAATTAACATATTCCATTTTAATCACTATGAAATGATAAATTTTACTTTCTCTGTTAAAAATCTGCTATCAGATAACGAAAGCTCTACTGGGCAGATCACGAGCTTAATACGGATGCAATTGATATCAATCTGCCGCAGAATCTGCTGGCAAGCTGTTAGCATGCCGCTAACATTTTGCTTACTGAGTAAACACCCATTGTACAATCGAAGGTATGCACATGTACACACATTTTTATAATTATATATATTAGGATCTGTATTGCTTCTTTATATTCTGTGAGTGCTTGGAAGCGCGTCTACAATTCAGTATAAGTTCTACGTAATATTCTTCTTATCGCTCAAGTGTTACCGGCGTCGTATCGTGCTCCTTAGTTACTGTTCTTTTAACAGGGAACCTCATCCGAGCTCCCCTTTCACAAGTGCGAACATTTTTTTTAATGTTGCCCTTCCATCGAAGTGGTCTATCGATTTCGTGTACCTTGACGTTTCTCGAGAGACAAGATTCTCTGAGGGAGTGTTCTCCGACGTGGATGTCGATACCGGAATTGGACGGAAGACGATGCTGAACTCGCTTGATTCTAGTCGCAAAGACGCTTCGTGCGTTCGATCCTGAGGCCGATTATATCCTTTCTTTTGTCTTTCTTCGATCGCGGCTTCATACGAGTGTAAATGCCCCGTCACCGATTATCCATTTTCGCTTGCTGACTGTTGTAGTATCTTATAGTTTTATTTTGTTAACGACACACCATATGATATATCGAAAAATAAATGCATAAATATATAAGTTGAACTTTAGGCTCTCTATCGACTATGCCGCAAGACAAGATGTGGTATATACGACGAGGAAGAAACGTAAGAAAAGAAAGGAAGAAAGGGGAGAAAAAAGAAACGCGTATATTACGAGAGGAATTTACATCGCATTTAAGTCGTTGGAGAGATTAATAATTATTGTTATTATTAGTAGATGAAATATAGGAGAGAAAAGAACGGACACGGTGAGAATGAGAGCGTGTATGAGATGCTGAAAGACAGGGAAAGAGAGGAAGAGAAAGCGATAGAGAGAAAGAGAATCCGAGTGGAAATGCGTGAAAGGGAGAAAGTATGTGAGAGAGCGCGAGAGGACACGTTCGCTTATATATACATAATACAAAGTATAAATTATATAAATATATAAATAAATTTAATGTTATACTTTAATAAGCATTCCTTTGTGAAACATTGTCGATCATCGCGAGGCGAGTGACACAATGACGGAAAGGCTAACGGCGATGCGACCTGTACCAAGTTATATAAGTTTATGTATTTGTTTGTAAGGTAACTGGACATCCGTTACGAAGCGTTTTCGTTTGACCGTTTGCTATCGGAAACGTGCATCGACGCTGTAACTAGTATTTATTATAAATATTATATTATGGTTACTCGAATATTTCGCTAGGCTCACTGTAAGTGGTAACGTGTAATAAATCGGTCAATAAAAAGCTTATATGCTTAATAAGTTCTTTTTAAAATAATATCCATGTGTTAAAAGCTCTCATCATATATTTTACGATTAATCACGTTTATTTACACTGACTAAAGTGAGGATGAACTGAACTAATTTAATTCTTTTACAGAGAGATACATCTTATTACTTATTTAAAAAAATCTAAACGTAAAACTAGCTATACAACATAATGAAAATCTAACTTTCCAACAAGATCTAAGTCCACGCGTATATTGTTTAAATAAACCTTTTATTTTTGTTTATTTACATATTAATTTATATTTTACTTAACCATTAAGAATCCTTGTACGTTCACGACAAATTTCTCGAAATTTTCTTCAAACCTCAGTCTTTGAGGACGGTCATTTAAGTCTATATTTACATCCACATTCGCAGTCAGTGCAGTAAAAGCATTCGCTAATCTTTGCGCCACTTGTAGATCCGTTTGAGTAGATACAATATTCTGTATAAGTTGCTGATATTGTTCTTGATAGCAACATATGAGATTGTAAAGAGGCAGACTGGCTTGTGTGATCAGATCTGAATCCATTTGATGTGACAGAATGAGACTTATTAATAACTGAAAAGAGAAATTCAATA